CTTGTGACCTAGACTTTATTCATCTCGTGCTCAATTAGTGATTTCCAAACATTTATCATGAATTTCATAACTAAAAAATGTTTTGATTATGTACCCTCATGTATTGATTATATGACAATATTTATAGATGATACATAGTACTCAAAGTTATATACACAGTAGATAGAACATGTATAAAAAAAAAGGATGAGCTAAAGATGACAGGTACAATATTCTCATAGTATTAATTTTACTAAAAATACAGAAAGTAGGCCAGGTGTAGTGGCTCATGCCTGTAATCCTAGCACTTTGGGAGGCTGAGGCAGGCAGATCACTTGAGTTCAGGAGTTTGAGACAAGCCTGACCAATATAGCGAAACCCTGTCTCTACTAAGAAAATACAAAAAATTAGCCCGGATGTGGTGGCACGTGCCTGTAGTCCCAGCTACTTGGGAGGGTGAGGCAGGAGAATTGCTTGAACCCGCGAGGCAGAGGTTACAGTGAGCCGAGATCATGCTACTGCACTCCAGCCTGGGTGACAGAGCAAGACTCCATCTAAAAAAAACAAAAAACAAAGACACCCAGAAAGTAAAGTGGTACATCATTATTCTTTAAAATCTTTGTTTAATATTATGTGATACAGCTGCTCAGAGGGCTGTTTCTAAAATCAGTTTATTTTGATACTTTAATGGCAGTCAAAGCCTGGAACAAAATGGAGGAATTTGGCTGTACTTTCTAAATCATATTATTTTTTCTCCAGACTTTTTCACCATTTATAGAAGTGCTTTATTGAAATGTGGCTGGTAAATTTCCATCTATTAGTTTTTCTTGCAGATTAATAAAAATATATACTTTTATTGTGCTAATAAATGGGTTCCAAAAGTCACTGTAAGTCTTCATTTGGAAGATATTTTAAAAAGTTGTAGAATATTCTGTTTCTGACTTTATAAAGCATGAAGATATGAGATTTTGGTGTCTTTATTTTTTAGATTATATATATTGTTTCAACAGCAGAATCACTTAGCAATGGAAATGTTTCCAAATATCCAATTTTGAAATGCTCTATTAGGAAAGAATTTTTCTCTCTCTCTCTCTCTTTTTTTTTTAAAGACGAAGTCTAGCTCTTATCCCCCAGGCTGGAGTGCAATGATGCCATCTGGGCTCACTGCAACCTCTGCCTCCTGGGTTCAAGCAATTCTCCTGCCTCAGCCTCCTGAGTAGCTGGGATTACAGGTGTGCATCACCATGCCTGGCTAATTTTTGTATTTAAAGTACAGACGGGGTTTCACCATGTTGGCCAGGCTGGTCTCAAACTCCTGACCTTAGGTGATCTGCCCGCCTCAGCCTCCCAAAGTGCTGGGATTACAGGTGTGAGCCACTGCGCCCGGCCGATATTTTTCTCTTTTTCTTTTTTCTGGAAAAGCTGAAAAGAATTTTGACATGTCGCTAAATATTTTTATTTTGTAGGGGCAGAATGAGTTTTTTTGTTTTTTAATATCTTCTTGGTAGCATACTACTTATAACCTCTTCAGAAATATTTAGCAAGTTTGGAACTCTAGTCTTTTTATTTTTAAAAAATTGTGTAACTCATCTACATTTAACAAATCTTTTAAGTACGTTTCTTGTGATGACTAGTGAATCTGTATGGATTTAAAAACAAAAAAAAGATTATGACGCCGAGGCAGGTGGATCACTTGAGGCCAGGAGTTTGAGACCAACCTGGCCAACATGGTGAAACCCCATCTCTACTAAAAATACAAAAATTAGACGTGGTGGTGCACAACTGTAGTCCCAGCTACTCTGAGCTGAGATTGCGCCACTGCACTCCATTCTGGGTGACAGAGCAAGACTCTGTCTCAAAAAAAAAAAAAAATTGGTGTCTACTCCCTATCTCCCAGAGTAGGGTAGAGGAAGATTCTATATTGATACAATTAACCTCAGTGACATCTGAGGTACCTTGTTCTGACTTAATTACAGCAATAGTTTACCTGTGAATGAAGCCGTTAAAGGCTTTTGTATCAGATGCTATCACTGTAACTTTATTCTGAGAATAATAATAATTATTATTATTATTTGAAATGGAGTCTCACTCTGTCGCCCAGGCTGGAGTGCAGTGGCACAATCTCGGCTTACTGCAAGCTCCGCCTCCTGGGTTCACACCATTCTCCTGCTTTAGCTTCCCATGTAGCTGGGACTACAGGCGCCCGCCACCACACCTGGCTAATTTTTTTGTATTTTTAGTGGAGACTGGGTTTCACCGTGTTAGCCAGAATGGTCTCAATCTCCTGACCTCATGATCCACCCGCCTCAGCCTCCCAAAGTGCTGGGATTACAGGCGTGAGCCACCGCGCCCGGCCAGAATTCTTTTTTAAAATTCCAGTCAAAGCAGTCATTTCATCAGTGGTTACAGTTTTCCGGTAAAATGCCTTGTTTCATTTACAGTTAAGAATACCTCCCTTTTAATACATTGTTCCTTGGTATCTTACAAAATTGTATTTCTTGTATATTTCATAATTACCCAATAAATACAAGATGAAAGAATCATCTATATTTTTATCCAATTGTATAGCAAACCCCACACACTGTATTTTGTCCTGATATCTTCAAGTCTTTAGGGTTTTCTAAGAGCTTTTGACTATACTTACCAATAAAAGAATACATTTAGTTTGTCACCATTTTTATTTCTGTGTATAATTTCATCTATGGTCCATGGCTTTTCTTATGGAAACAGCAGTTTCGACACTAACTTTCATACAGTTTTGTGAAGTGTCACATTAAATAGCCTGTGATTTTAGACATAGGTGGAAAAATTATAGACGTTTAACTCTTGCTGTGAACACTTAAAAGCCTGGTGGATTATGAGGACTTTGTTCGTGCCATCAGATTATATCTTAAGGTAGAGTAGACACGTAGAGTGAGGTTCATCTTTAATAAAAAATGGGCTGGGCGCGGTGGCTCATGCCTATAATCTCAGCACTTTTGGGAGACCGAGGCAGGTGGTTAACCAGGTCAGGAGATTGAGACCATCCTGGCTAACATGGTGAAACCCCATCTCTACTAAAAATACAAAAAAATTAGCCGGGCATGGTGGCGGGCGCCTGTAGTCCCGCCTACTCTGGCGGCTGAGGCAGGAGAATGGCGTGAACCCAGAAGGCGGAGCTTGCAGTGAGCCGAGATCGCACCACTGCACTCCAGCCTGGGTGACCGGTGAGATTCCGTCTCAAAAAAATTAAAATACATATATACATACATACATACATACATACATAAATGGTATGGCTGGATGCGGTGGCTCACGCCTGTAATCCTAGCACTTTGGGAGGCTGAGGCTGGCGGATTGCCTGAGCTCAGGAGTTCGAGACCAGCCTGGGCAACGTGATGAAACCCCCATCTCTACTGAAAATACAAAAATTACCTGGGCGTGGTAGAGCATGCCTGTAACCCAGCTACTTGGGATGCTGAGGCACGAGAATCGCTGCAACCTGGGAGGCAGAGGTTGTGATGAGCTGAGATCCGCCACTGCACTCCAGTCTGGGCAGCAGAGAGAGACTGCGTCAAAAAACGAAACAAAACAAAAATAAATAAGAAATGGTGTAAAGTCAATATAAATACAAGTACTAATATTTTATTTTTACACCCCAAAGGATTATCGTATAATACAAACACCCTTCAAGTACACATATCCCACTTTAGAGACTACTGCCCTAAACAACAGGGATAATGATATTGAAACTGGCCTTTTAGTTAAAATAAAACAAAGCCAAAAATAATTCACTTTTGTCTATAAACTTATATTTGGGAGACAAATGTAAGAATAATCAGCTTGGCTGGGCATGGTGGCTCACGCCTGTGATCCCAGCACTTTGGGAATCCAAGGTGGGTGGATCGTGAGGTCAGGAGATCAAGACCGTCCTGGCTAACACGGTGAAACCCCGACTCTACTGAAAATACAAAAAAATTAGCCAGGCATGGTGGCAGGCACCTGTAGTCCCAGCTACTCGGGAGGCTGAGGCAGGAGAATGGCGTGAACCCGGGAGGTGGAACTTGCAGTGAGCCGAGATTGTGCCACTGCACTCCAGCCTGGGTGACAGAGCAAGACTCCATCTCCAAAAAAAAAAAAAAAAAAAAATCAGCTTTGGCTTGAGGTTTGGAGAATGAACACTTCTATGACTACCTGTCATAGCTCACTAGGAAACCCTAGTGAACCATGGAAGGGTTATTGGTTAAATATATTGTATAAAGAAACATTTTGCTAGTTGCTGTTGACCAAAAAGGCTGTTTTTTTAAAAAAATGTAGTCTGTAATTATTTTTGTTGAAAGATATTTGGAAGATAGTTTTTCTCAATCTATAGGAGATACAGTTTGTAGCCACCTGGGATCTCTTATAAAAAGATACTTTTTCATAGTATACTTTTTATAATATACATAAAATTTCATAATATACTTTTGATAATATATATGAAATTTGATACATAAGTTTATCAAATTTATTGAATTTAGTACATTTTTATTAGTCAAGATTCTTTGGAAGACATGGAAAACTAATTCAAAAAAGCTTGAGCAAAAAAAAGTGTGTTGGCTCGTAACTAATATTCAGGACTGGTCTCCAGAACTTGGTTGCCAGGTCTGTGTTTCCAGGTTGTCTGTTAGCTTGTCTGTGTTTCTGTGATAGTTTTACCGTTTTACAGTGGAAAGTCTTTCTCCGTGGGGTGCTCTGACTTGCAGAAGAATGCCTTTGGTCTAGTGCCAGCATATATAAAATCCTGTGGGTGGGATAGAGTAGACGTAGTTGCATGTGTGCTGACTGGCAGTCTCACAAAACCACATGGAATGGGGAAGGAACAGTTTCCCAAAGGAAGGGTTTGCTCTTACTTCAGAGGAAGGGATGCTGGGAGTCAAAAACAATAGATGTTCGTTATAGCAATGAGAGTGATAAAGAAGAGTGGACAGAAAGGCATAAAGTATTCTTTAAGGGAACAGAACTTGACTTAATTTGATTTTCCTAATCATTGATTCTTACAGAGCATGCAAGCAGCAAGATGTCCTACAGATGAATTATCTTTAACCAATTGTGCAGTTGTGAATGAAAAGGATTTCCAGTCTGGCCAGTGAGTATCTGACTTTGTTTTCTTTTAACCTGCTAAGTGGCATTTCGGAAACTTCCAGGGAGTCATTTTTAGGAAACGTTGGAAAATATTTTTTTTAAATTTTTCTTGCTGAGTTGGAAAATGGAGAAGATGACGAAAAATTGTGTATTTGAATCATTACTGTGTCAAACTTTGATAAATACTGTATAATGTTTTTAAAATCACATACAGTTTTTTATGTATAAAACTTTAGTTTTCATCGGTTGTCTTAGGAGAGATTCATAGGTTTTATGAATCATATATAGCAGAGTTGTTAGGTATTTGATTTTGGCCAACTCAGATTGTTTGAGTTTTCCTGGCTCTACCAATTACAAACTGGCTGACCATTTCTGTACCTTTATGTCCTGATCTGTATAATGGAGATGATCTCTTCTTCAAGGTAGCTATGAAGAGTAAGTTACATAAATAAAGCGCTTAGGACAGTGCCCAACATGTTAACAAGCCCTTAGTAAATATTAGCTGTTATGGTTATTATTACCATGGTAATCCAAGAGACATGAACATTGGAAGATGGACTGGGTGTGGTGGCTCATGCCTGTAATCCTAGTATTTTGGGAGGCCAAGGCGGGCTGATTGCCTAAGCTCAGGAATTTGGGACCAACCTGGCCAACATGGTGAAATCCCATGTCTACTAAAAATAAAAATTAGCCAGGCATGGTGGTGTGTGCCTGTAGTCCCAGTTTCTCAGCAGGCTGAGGCATGAGAATCGCTTGAACCCAGGAGGCAGAGACTGTAGTGAGCTGAGATGGCACCACTGCACTCCAGCCTGGGTGACACAGCGAAACTTTGTATCAAAAAAAAGGAAAGAGAAAATTGGAAGATGCAAAGCAAATGTAGAATCCTTAAAGGCATTTTGCATTGTAATTTATTTTAACTGATTCATATCATCCCACTGCCAGGACTTCTAAAGACCCTGCTGCAAGTTCAGTGCCATCCATATGCTTCTGAGATTGGTATAGATAAGAAGATGAAGGAGCTGTAGGGAAATAAGAGGCAAGGTGGTAGGGTTTTAACTGAGCATTTTTCTTAAAATGTTGTCTGTGAAATACATGAGTTTCACAGAGTTAGAAATGCTAATCATCTTTGGTTTCCAGGCTGTACTATATGGTGATATTAACATTTGTTTCCAGTGCTAAACATTCTGTGATGCTAAATTGAGCACAGGACTTTCAACAGATAACCTGAAGTATAGATAATCAATGTGAGAATTTGTAGAGTTCTTTTACATATGTTAAATGTTCACTGTGCTCATGGTGGGGTTACTCAAAATGTAGTTGGTATAAGGAACATGTGTTCTAGTGGCAAGAAAATATGTATAGAAACATTAGCCGTTGATGTGAAAAATTACAGCATTCTAAGAAGATAATTTTTAAAAAGATAGTGAGCTAGGCATGTTGGGGCATGCCTGTAGTCCCAACTACTTTAGAGACTGAGGCAGGAGAATCCCTTGAGCCTGGGAGTTTGAGGCCCGCCTGGGCAACATAGCGAGACCGCATCTATTAAAAAAAAAAAAAAAAACATACTGCTGATGCATAATAGGATTTGAAGCTTCTGTCTTACACATAGTACTTTCTAGTTACCTGGTATAGGAGTTTATCATGAGAGGACTATTTTTTTTTTTTTTAAACAGATAATTTCTGAACAGGGAATTAGCACAAAATTTTTTAAAACAGTAAATATTGATGTCTACATGAAAGCTGATGTATTTTGGGAATTTTTTAAATCTTTTTTTTTATTTTGTGGGTTGTTTTAGCCTGTTGACAGAGTCTGCAAATAAATTTAATAAGTAGTCTAAAAACTAACCTTTTTTGATTGCTATATCCAAGCTCTTTTATCTTTGGCTCTCCTTATTTTATTAGGATGTGAAGTAATTCTCAGGAGAGGAAATTCATCTAGTTTTTACTTGATATCAAGGACTCTAAATCACCGGCTTCAGTTTTATGTAAACTGGAAATGTAATGAAGTTGGTATTTTGGATGGTATTTTGGCTGGATTCTACTTGATGAGTGTTTGACCCAAGATGCTCCTTATATCTGGAACACATTTGGGATTGCTGATAGTTTTGGAAACTAAATTTGTGGTTCTGTTTCTTCAAGACACAGATAATGTAGTTTCCACCTGATACTCATTAAATATCAGTTTGAAAAGAAATACATTTTGAAATTATGTTCTTCATTTCCTTCAAAGTGGAGTACTAACTGTGTTTCTGTCCTTTAGGCATGTGATTGTGAGGACCTCTCCCAATCACAGGTACACATTTACACTGAAGACACATCCATCAGTGGTTCCAGGGAGCATTGCATTTAGTTTACCTCAGGTAACTCAGATGTTAATTTATTCTCTTCTGTTTTTGAAAGTCATAGAATATAAATAGTCCGTTCATTTTAAGCAAGCATCACCCTATTACTGTATTGATTCATACTGAAGAAAAACATCTAAGTATTATATAAGGAATTTAAAGATACAGTCTTTTCTTTTTTTTTAAGACAGGGTCTCATTCTGTCACCCAGGCTGGAGTGGCACGATCACTGCTCCTCATCTCAAGCAATTCTCATGCCTCAGTCTCCCAAGTAGCTGAGACTACAGGCTTGTACCACTGTGCCTGACTAATTTTAAAATTGTTTGTAGAGATGGGTCTTAACTGTGTTGCCCAAGCTAGTCTTTAACTCTTAGGCTCAAGTAATCCTCCCACCTTGGCCTCCCAAAGTGCTGGGATTATAGGGTGTGAATCATCACGCCCAACCTAAAGACAGATTCTTAACTGCCAATTTTTGCTATGGCTGCCTCCTTTTGCCTTGATTTTTTTCCCTAATTTTTAAAGATTTTGCAGTATAATCAGTCAGCTATCACATAAAGGGTCAAGTTATTTTAATGTTAACTCCCAGGGTAACAGAAAAGATAAAAAACATTTTATTTGTAAAATTGACATCTAAGAATAGTGATTTTATAATATGATGGCGTTATACTAAAGAATTTGGAAAGAGTCTCAAATTACAACATAAGTTGCTAGGCTCCCATAACAACTGGATGGGTTGTGATTACAGTTACAACTGTTGGTGGATTCTCTGGAATCCAGAGAATTAGATTGCTTAGGCGCTGCCCCAGGCACATCATACAGAATATAAAGCACCACAAATACTAGTCTGTATCTTCTTCTCCCTTATCATTTTACTCAGGCTGCTGACTGACCCCAGTCCTAAGTAATGTAAATGCAATCCCTACCTCCTCCTAGTATGCTAATGAGCATTGGTAGACTTCCCTGAAGGTTTAGAGAAAGAGATCAAACACTCATTTAAGAACTATTAGGCTGGGTGCAATGACTCATGCTGGTAATCCCAGCACTTTGGGAGGCCAAAGCTGGTGGATCACTTGAGTCCAGCAGTTCAAGACCATGTGGGCAACATGGCGAAACCCCATCTCTGCTAAAAGTACAAAAATTATCTGGGCGTGGTGGTGCCTGCCTGTAGTCCTAATTTCCTGTGGGGCTGAGGCAGGAAGATCACTTGAGCCTGGGAAATCGAGGCTGCAGTGAGATGAGATACTGCCACTGCACTCTAGCCTAGGTGATAAAGTGAGACCCTGTTTAAAAAAGAAAACAAACAAACAAACAAACAAACAAACAAAAGAATTATTAGATGGGCCAGGTGCCTCACACTTATAATCCTAGTGCTTTGGGAGGTGGAGGAGGATCGCTTGAGACCAAGAATTCCAGACCAGTATAGCGAGACCCTTGTCCCCCACACTGTCTCTACAAAAAAAAATTTTTAATTAGCTGGGCATGGTGTCACATGCCTGTAGTCCAGGCTACTTGGGAAGCTGAGGTTAGGAGGATCACTTGAGCCCAGGAAGTCGAGGCTGTAGTGAGCTATGATTGTGCCACCATGCCCTAGCCTGGGCTACAGAGTGAGATTCTGTCTCTTTAAAAAGAGGAAAAAAAGAAACTATTGAAGATCTCTTGAAGCCCTCAAAAATTACAGGAAATTTTCACTTACTATTCCACCTGTCTGTTTGATACCTCTTCATTATCCAGACCACTTTCACATTTATTTCTAGAGATTAAAAATTTGGGATATTCCAGGGTTCGTCAGCTTTTACAGAGTTCCATTTGGGATTCTGATTGTTAGAAATAGCTTGAGATGTGACCATTTCTCCTTGTCTCTGTTTTATTTAAATAAAATGAAAAATTTCCCCCAACATTTACTATAGGCCAGGTTCTATTCTCAGTACTTTGGCATGTGTTAGCTCTTTTAATTCTCCAAACAACCTTATAAAATAGCTACTGTTGTTATCCCTAAGGACTGCTGTATCAGTCCATTTTCATACTGCTATGAAGAAATACCGGAGACTGGGTAATTTATAAAGAAAAACAAGATTTCATGGACTCACTGTTCCACATGGCTGCGGAGGCCTCACAATCATGGTGGAAGGCGAAGGAGGAGCAAAGTCATGTCTTACATGGTGGCAGACAAGAGAGCGTCTGCAGGGGAACTGCCCTGTGTAAAACCGTCAGATCTCGTGAGAGTTATTCACTGTCATGCAAACAGCATGGGAAAACCCACACCCATGATTCAGTTACCTCCCACTGGGTCTCTCCCATGACACATGGGGATTATGGGAACTAAAGATGAAATTTAGGTGGGGACACAGCCAAACCATATCAGCTGTCTTTGGGATTGAAGTACAGAACCTAAATGTGGCTTCCTTTTGACTTAAAGTCTAAGCTTAATGAGCATGGTGCTAAATTTCAGGTTGGCTGGAAGTGGGTTGGGGTTTTACAGAAGAGGTCTTCTGGGGGAGGTGAAGGGCAGAGAGGAGGGAAACAGGATGTGGTAAGAAAGCTGCAAGGGAGAGCACTTGTTGCACGTATTCACAGTGCAACATCTTCTAAATTACCCACTACAGAGTCTGCAGTGTTCGGATGAGCAGGCGAACTGTTGATTTTCAACCAAAAATTGTTTTTCTCATTGTTCTTTGGAGTGTTATCAGTAATTACTAATTTTGAATCTATACCAAGCAAGCCCCAAATTCCTGCCTAAACACAATCTGGCCTGCCTTCATACTTCTTGCCATTATAAACAGTAGGGATTTGGGAAAGCCTGAAATCTAGCTGTAAATGTCTAAAAATCTTCTGGCTAGTATACAAAGAGTAACTATGACTATCTAATGATTTCAGTCCCTGATTGGGTTTCAAAATATATTTTCTGACCAGTTTTAATTGAGTCTTCATGAATCAAATGTCTTCCTTCTTGAGATACTGTAACAAACAGTAAAACTAACTGCAGCAGTACATTTAAAACACTGAAGTGCGATCTGATACAGTGAAGACCTTCTGTGGCATCATATTGTGCAAAGGAGCATCCTTCTCAGTGGTGCCAGCTTTGCTGCAAAAGGCAAGCTTTGCACGTTTTGGAACAGATGTTCAGATATAAACTATAGCACATGCATTACTTTCCTGGGGTAAGTAACAAAGAACCATTGCTGGTGGCTTAAAACAACAGAGATTTATTCTCTCACCATTCTGGAGGCTGGAAGTCTGAAATCAAGCTGTCAGTAGAGCTATTCCCTCTCTGAAGGCTCTAGGGAAGAATCTGTTCTATACTTAGCTTCTGGTGTTGCCGGCAATCCTTTGGTATTCCTTGGCCTGTAGCTGCATCATTTCAATTTCTGCCTCTGCTATCACATGATGGTGTTCTGTCTATGTGTCTATGTCTCCATTCTTAGAAGGACACCAGTCATATTGGCTTAGGGTTCACCCTAATTCATTATGGCCTCATGTTAACTTGATTACATTTGCAGAGGTCGTATTTTTAAATAAAGTCACATCCACAGATGTTAGGGGCTAAGACTTCAACATACTTTGGAGGGGGAGAGCACAGTTCAACCATAATAGCATACCATGTTTTGATCTTTGAATGTGTTCTGAAAATTCATTAAAATTCCTCTTTTCTTCTTGTCTAATTTTGATTGCTTTGGTTTTAAGTATCTTTGTTTTTCTCTTTTACTTTACAGAGAAAATGGGCTGGGCTTTCTATTGGGCAAGAAATAGAAGGTAGGTATATTTTTTAGCCACCTGATAAAGATTTTTTATATTATTTTCTCACAGATATTGAGAGCTGTACAATTTTTTATTACTAGTGATCAGACCTTAAACTTTCATTGTATCAGAATACTGGTTAGATCTATGAGAATGGAAGTAAATAGTTATGGTACCTCTGTTCCTATATCTTTTATGAAGTGTGTGATAAGGTCATCATAGTTCAAGGCAAGGAAGGCAATTTATGACTTCCAGTTTGGGGGGTGGCGGGGTGGAGAGACTAAGCTGCTAATAGATAATAAGCCAAAGAGCTAATAAGCAGAAACTGGCATTGTCTCTTAGGCAATGTGGCAAAGTTAAGAAATGGAGTATGAGTCGTCTTTAGTCAGATGATTTTATGTCAACTTCATGGATACAGTAGGGGAAGGAAAGAAAACGCAAGTGTAAATTAAACCAGCTTTTCTTCTGCTTGTCTTTAAAACTTAAAAAATTATAGAAAGGTTGCAAAAATAATGTGAAGAATTTCTGTATACTACCTTTACCTAGCTTTACCAGTTGTCATATTTTCTTTATCTTTCTGGCTCCCTATCTTCCCCTCTGGGTCTCTGTCTCTCTCTGTACACACACACACACACACACACACACACACTTCTTTTATCCTACTTATTTAGGAACCTGACAACTTATCATTTTTTCTAAGTTAGATGGAATTTAAACATTGGGGCTATTTTATTTTATTTTATTTTTGAGATGGAGACTCGCTCTGTTACCAGGCTGGAGTGCAGTGGCGCAATCTCAGCTCACTGCAACCTCTGCCTCCAGGGTTCCAGCAATTCTCCTGCCTCAGCCTTGCAAGTAGCTGGGACTACAGGCACGCGCCACCACACCTGGCTAATTTTTGTATTTTTAGTAGAGATGGGGTTTCACCATGTTGGCCAGGATGGTCTCAATCTCTTGATCTTGGGATCCGCCTGCCTCAGCCTCCCGGAGTGCTGGGATTACAGGCATGAGCCACTGCACCCGGCTAACATTGGAGTTATTTTTAGTTGGCTTTTTCTCTGTGGAAGTATGAACACTTGTTAAATTTAATGAGAAAATGGGGTAGTATGTAACGTAGGTTTCTAATTTTCATAAATTTTCTAAATATGAGGCTAAGAGTACTTAAAACTTTGAATCTAGATATTTCCTATTGTGACAAGACACAGAAATTCAAGGTTATAAATTTTGATGAGTTGAGAAATGTGTTTTGTAGTTTAAGTTGTGAAAGCATTCTTCTAACAGAAATGCTTATCTTGATTGTAAAGTCAGATCTTTAAAGAAGTGGCTCAAACAGACTTAATAAGCAAAATTGTAAAACCCAGTAATCAGGTGGGAGTAAAGTGGAGTAAGCTTGAGGGAAGGTAGAGTTTTGGGGCCCAAGTGATGTGGATGATGTGGCCATAAAGGTAGAAAACTGGTTCGGTTTAAGTAGAGATGTAGACCAAGATGGGATAGGAGGTGTGGTTTGAAGGAGGAGTGCTCAAGCATTCTGGAATGGGAGTTCCGTAAGGTGAAACATTTTAGTCAAGTCAGTGATTTTAGTCTGAGGGAATCTTCTGGAGGAATCATTTAGTCTGTCTTCTTTCCATCTGGCAGTGCCATATTTTAAGTGTTACAGGCTAATGTTTTGACTACTATATATACACCTATCATTGTAAAGTCCAAGTTTATTCAAAGAATTGGATAAACTTATTTTTTGCTTATATAATCTTTATTAGTCTTTTATATTAAATTATTATTAGCCATAAAATAAGAAAACATTCTCAATCTTCTGCTTTGATCCTGGATGAAATCTTCAGGACTCAAGAGTCCCTGACTCAAGAGTCCCTTTGGGACTGACCATGGTGCTGACTTGGCGCTGCCTGGGATACTGTCCATGGTGCTGCCCATAGCACTTGAAATTGTAACAGCTTGGTCTTTTCTATTTGGGAACATTGGCCTTAAACTAAAATGCATTTGAAAACTACAGTCAGCACATTACTACAGTCAGTAGTAATTATATATTTATATATTTATTTATTTATTTTTGAGATGGAATCTTGCTCTGTGGCTGAGGCTGGGGTGCAGTGGCATGATCTCAGTTCACTGCAACCTCCTCCCCAGTTCAAGCAGTTCTCCTGCCTCAGCCTCCCAAGTAGCTGGGATTAGAGGCATGTGCCACCACACCTGGCTAATTGTATTTTTAGTAGAGAAGGGGTTTTGCCATGTTGGCCAGGCTGGTCTCAAACTCCTGACCTCAGATGATCCAACCACTGGATTACAGATGTGAGCCACCTCGCCTGGCTGATATTTTAAATACACTGATTCAGATTTCTCAGTATGAAGATGACATGAATATATGTATACACATACATATGTATGCATTATGACATTATGATATTGTTTTGGTGTCTTTAATGCACAAAATGGTATTATACTATACAAACCTTTCTGCTGTAGACTTGTCACTCAATATTATGTTTCCAAGGGCCATCCATCTTTTTTTGAGATGGAGTTTTGCTCTTGTTGCCCAGGCTGAAGTGCAATGGTATGATCTCGACTCACTACAGCCTCTCCTCCCAGGTTCAAGCAATTCTCCTGCCTCAGCCACCTGAGTAGCTGGGACTTACAGGCATGCACCACCACTCTGGCGAATACTTTCTATTTTTAGTAGAGATGGGGTTTCACCATGTTGACCAGGCTGGTCTCGAACTCCTGACCTCTGGTGATCCACCCGCCTCAGCCTCCCAAAGTGCTGGGATTACAGATGTGAGCCACCACGCCTGGCCAGGCCATCCATCTTTATTAAGTATACATAAAGTTGGTTTTTTTTTTGTGTGTGTTTTTTTTTTTGACAGGGTCTCACTTGGCTGGAGTGCAGTGATGCAGTCATGGCTCACTGCAGCCTCAGTACCTGGCTAATTTTTTTATTTTGTGTAGAGGCAGGGTCTCACTGTGTTGCCCAGTCTGGTCTCTAAATTCTGGACTTAAGTGATCCTCCCACCATAGCCTCCCAAAGTTCTGGGATTACAGATGTGAGCCACCGTGCCTGGCCAAGTTTTAATTTTAATAAAAATTGCTGTATAGTATTCTACATTATGAATATACAAACATTTTTCAATATTTAAGTACTATAAATAATGCTGCAGTGAACCTCTCTGTAGATGTTTAGACAAATGTTCTAGCATCTTTCTGGGACAAACACCTAGAAATGGAATTGCTGAATCAATATATTCATTTTTACATTAAGATTTCAACCTACAAATATTTTCACTACATGAGGGAAATAACTAAGCTCTCTTGCCTATCACAGTTACTCAGCATATAGCCTGTACTTTATAGGAAATGTTAAGAAGGAGCAAGCCATCCAGAATTGGAGACAGGAGAGTGTTCTGAAACTTTTAGCCAAAATTTGAACTTATTATTTGATCTTCAGTGTGTTTTATGTTCCTTCCTCAGGTGGCTTTGTTATTTTGCTTTTGAAGTAGTTAAAATATGTTTATGTCCCCCCTTTAAATACAGAAATCTGATTATACAAACAATTTCATTTAAATAGTTTATAGAAAATCACCGTTTGCGGTGACTCATGCCTGTAATCCCAGCACTTTGGGAGGCCAGGGCGGGCGGATCACGAGGTCAGGAGATCGAGACCATCCTAGCTGACATAGTGAAACCCTGTCTCTACTGAAAATACAAGAATTAGCTGGGCATGGTGGCATGCACCTGTAATCCCAGCTACTTGGGAAGCTGAGGCATGAGAATCACTTGAACCCAGGAGGTGGAGGTTGCAGTGAGTTGAGATCGTGCCATTGCACTTCAGCCTGGGTGACAGAGCAAGACTCTGTTTCAGATATAAAATAAGAGTTTACAGAAAATCCTTGTATATAACTCAAGTGGCTAGAATATAAGAAATAAGTTTAGAACAGAATTTAGAGTATGAAATGACCATAAAGACTTATCTAGTTCAGTATTGATTTATAGATGTGACAAATCAAGGCACAGAGAACTTAAATTATTTACTTGGATTCTTCTGATTGCTAGCAGAATCTGTTGAAACATACATACTCAAAGTCCCTTTGAAGAGAACAGCTTTGTTTGTAATTCACTAGAATCTTTGCAACAGACATTTAATACTGCACAGTGACTTTTTTTGCTTACCTCTTGCTATTTGACCTCAGTAGCTCACAAAAGTTCCATGCCTGTTGTTCAAAGCAAGTGTGAAAAAAAGTCTCTTATTACCTGCTTTTGTGGTGAGAACTGCAGAAGCTCACTTACCCCATGTGACTTGGACTGGTAGTTAAGTGAAAAGTTGGTTAAAGGCCTTTTCTTGGAGGTTTGGTCCGTGGATTGGAGTGCTGTATTATCTTTTGTGCATACACTTCACCCATAATTTCCAGGTGGATTTCTTTGAAATGGCTGAAGAACTTAGACTTTGTAGAGCATCCGAGAGTGCCAGACCTCTTGGATTTTTGTAGAGTTCACTCCCAACCTTTTCTGATTTTAATGCTCATACCTAGTGAGCAGTATTTTTTTTCTAGAAGAAACTCTTCATTTAAAAAAATTTCCCAAAGCTTTCAACTTAGATTTATAATATCTATTCTAGAATGTCAAAGTCGTTGTAATAACAGTTCAACAACCAGACCTTCAGAAGTTTTTTATACTATTTAATTATATATCATAATTTACTGTAACAAGCGTAACTAGCACAGACAGATTCCAGAATGAACTTGGCTGACCCATGATGTGTAGCAACTCCGTCTACAAGCTCTGAGCATTAGGCAAACTATAGGCTGATGGGTATATATTGGAGGGATAAAAGTTGGTCCACTTTCTGATGAGTCAGCTCAGTGGAAGTTGCTTAAGAGAGCTGCTACTGTATCCTTAAGGGGACATTGGCAAATTTTAGGACAATTATCTTCAGGGAACCTAAAGGGAAAATAAATTGTGTGTGTGTGTGTGTGTGTGTGTGTGTGTGTGTGTGTGTGTCTGTGTCTGTGTCTGTGTCTGTCAAGCCTTATTGAAGAGTAGCGATAGACTCTTTCTTACGGCACATAATCAAGTTGCCCTATTTGGGGAAACTCAAATGCAAAAATCCTCTTGAACTTTTCTGGGTAGCTTACTCTTTCCTAATAGTACCACTACAGTATATAGCACTGTAATATTTTTTGCTTTAAAAGTTTGTTTATAAACTGGCATTTATAAGTATACTTTTGAGCTGATTTAAGAATCAAGTCTTTTTCCTAGGGAAATGCTTCTTTGTAATTATCTGTCACTAGCAAAATTTGTTTTAACACATATTTTTCTAAAAATATGATACATAAACTCTGTTGTAGTTGTACAATTCAGGGATTTTGGTTGAACAGTTATTACATGATATAAAATCATGTGTAACACTTTAATATTTAAATTTATTACACCGTAACCTAAAAGTCATTTTAGAACTTTTTATGTGGCTTGAACAGGAATTTTCTTACCCAAGGCTTTGTATGTATGGTTTATTGCCTCCTTCATTATTAGCATGGAGACCATGGATTTTCTGTTATTGTTGTTTCATTTAAACAGTTCATGAATATATTAAGCACCTGAAAGGAACTATGAGATGCTGTTAATATGAAGAGGAGTTAAAAACCTGGTCCTTGCCCTTATCTACATGCCGCGCATGTGGAACTTATTATAGTTCCCTAGATGTAGCAGGTGCTCAGGCAACATTTTTGTAGTAGTAAAAAAGAAATAAAGAAGAAATGTCAAAGTCTAACTTGCTCTAGAGCAAATTCCCCTAGTAAACATTGTTTTTCAAGCTTCTTTTTTTGCCTTGCATCCTACTTTCTTAGGCCAGAGGAATTCATCCACATTCCACCTTAGCTGTTTTTTTGTGTCAAACAAAAATCTTATTTGGAAATAGCATGTTAATGGCACCTGTGTCGGGGCATGCCATACTGTACTGCATTGAATGAGGAGAAAGATGCGGAGGCCATGTAGGGAGGATTGTGATCCTAACGAGAGTGGGATGAGGGATAACAACAGACTGCGTTCAGTATTTCTGTTGTTGTTGTTGTTGTTGTTGTTGTTGAGACGGAGTCTCGCTCTGTCACCCAGGCTGGAGTGCAGTGGTGTGATCTCGGCTCACTGCAAGCTCCGCCTCCTGGGTTCACGCCATTCTCCTGCCTCAGCCTCCCGAGTAGCTGGGACTACAGGCGCCCGCCACCACGCCCGGCTAATTTTTTTGTATTTTTAGTAGAGAGAGGGTTTCACCATGTTAGCCAGGATGGTCTCGATCTCCTGATCTCATGATCCGCCTTCCCAAAGTGCTGGGATTACAGGCGTGAGCCACCATGCCCGGCCTGGCATTCAATATTTCTAATTTGTTCAGATGGGGAAGAAAATCTCTAGTGGTTATTATTTTTTAAATCTGTACCTGTGTGTCCCTCCGGTGAAGGCCGTTTAAGCCCCATTTTTGGTGAAGTAGTTTTATTGTGATTCATTTATGTGAAACTTTTAGTTACTAGAAACACAACAGGTATTTGGTACTCCTGTGATTTTTAAAAAAATGCTTCTTTTTTTCTCCTAGTCTCCTTATATACATTTGACAAAGCCAAACAGTGTATTGGCACAATGACCATCGAGATTGATTTCCTGCAGAAAAAAAGCATTGATTCCAACCCTTATGACACCGACAAGATGGCAGCAGAATTTATTCAGCAATTCAACAACCAGGCCTTCTCAGTGGGACAACAGGTAGTTTTAAATTTTCTTCCATTCCTTTAACTTTATAGGTAATTTCTGCAGTTGTCCAAAATTAATTCCAGCTTTTAAAAAGTGAGAGGAGCTTTGCGTATCAACTGGTATATCCAAGGTGAGTGATAAAAAGTGAGGGAAATGTATTTACTGAACTTCAAGGAGTCTGTTCAGAAAAATTCTAAAGTAGCTTTTAGATTATAATGTCATGTATAATTACAGCAGCTTTTCCCTCAGCAAATTTGGGAGCCCTGCAGACATATATATCTGAAATTTCTTTTTATATCATAGGACATTTGTTTTGCCTCTGGAATATCTGTTTCTTTCACTAATATAGTTCTGTAGAAAACATAGCTCTTGGCCAGACATAGTGGCTCACGACTGTAATCCCAACACTTTGGGAGACTGAGGTGGGAGGATCACTTGAGCCCAGGAGCTCAAGACCAGCTTGGGCAACATAGTGAGACCCTGTCTCTCCAAATTTTTTTTAAAAAATAGCTGGGTGTAGTGGTCTCAGCTACTCAAGAGGCTGAGGTGGGAGAATTGCTTGAGTCTGGGAGGTTGAGGCTGCAGTGAGCCATGATTGTGCGATGGCACTCCAGCCTAGGTGACAGATTGAGACCTTGTCTCAAAAAAAAAAAAAAGTTCTTATTTTGGTTATGGGCTTATTTGAGAATCTTAAGAAAATTGAATTCCTGCTAGATAGGAAAAGGATATAGTGCATTATTTTAAAAAGAGTACTAGAATTGGAATGAACCTCAAGAGATTACCTTCTCTAACTCCACATTTACAAATGAGGAATTTTATTTTATTTTTTTAAAAAATTTTATTTATTTATTCATTTATTTTTTGAGATAGTGTGTTACCCTGTCACCCAGGCTGGAGTGCAGTGGCGCCATCTCAGCTCACTGCAACCTCTGTTTCCTGGTTCAAGTGATTTTCCTGCCTCTGCCTCCTGAGTAGCTGGGATAACAGGTGTGCGCCACCACGCCCAGCTAATATATGTATTTTTTGAGACAGAGTTTTGCTCTTGTTGCCCAGGCTGGAGTGCAATGGCGCGATCTCGGCTCACTGCAACCTCTGCCACCTGGGTTTAAGTGATTCTCCTGTCTCGGCCTCCTTAGTAGCTGGGATTACAGGCATGCACCACCACACCTGGCTAATTTTGTTCTTTTAGTAGAGATGGGGTTTCATCATGTTAGTCAGGCTGGTCTCAAACTCCTGACCTCAGGTGATCCACCCGCTTTGACCTCCCAAAGTGCTGGGATTATAGGCATAAGCCACCATGCCTGGCCTTTTTTTTTTTTTTTGTATTTTTAGTAGAGATAGAGTTTTGCCATGTTGGCCAGGCTGGTTTCAAACTCCTGACCTCAAGTGATCTTCCCACCTCGGCCTCCCAAAGTGCTGGGATTACAGGTGTGAGCCACCACACCTGGCCAAATGAGGAATTTAAGATCTAAAGAAGGTAAATGGTATGCCCATGGCTACACAGCTAAGGAACATAGTTGAGATAAGAATTAATAAACAGATATTTGATAGTACCTAGTACCAGCCACTGTTTTAGACACTGCAGATCGGCAGTGAACAAAATAGATGTAATCCCTACTGTCATAGAACTTACTTTCTAGTTGAGGAAAACAGAAAATAAGACAGGAATACCATGTACAGTTAAGTCTCTGATGATAGTAGACCAGGACACTTCACCAGAGAGCCATTGCAGTAGTGTTGTGTATTGGATGACTAAAATTGTGCTCAGATTGCCTAGCTAAACTTGATGGTTTTTACCTTTGTTGTTAGCTTTAGTATCCTAATGGAAAATGTTTAGGAGAATGTTTAATAGGAAATGCTTTGGTATTTATAATAATTTAAAACTCAGTAGCATGTAGAAGTTGGTAAATCCGTGAACGAGAATCTTTCATAATTCAGAGAAGAAGTAAATATCTTACTCCAGATCACTGTCCTTACTGTTTCTTCTCATTTGTGGTATCTGGTAGTATAGCAGGATTGACGGACAGCCCAACCTGTAATATTTACCGTTATACCCCAGCACATAGAAGAAGACCAGACTTTTAGAAGGGACTCAGCAAATATTTGGTGAATGAGTAATTGAGCACTCAGAAGCTGTCTCTGCACTTGTAGGGCAAGCATTCTGTACTGGTGATAGGAAAGCATGAATTGTAGAGTCACAGACCCAGGTTTGACTCCTGGTGTTCTCATTTGCTGTGACTCTGAGCCTTGTTGCGTAGCCTCTTTCTGTATCTCAGCTTCCTCACTAGTAAAACGGAGTCATAGTTTCTGCTTCCAAGAGTGTTTGTGAATATTATATAACTGCCTGTAGCATTTGAATTAAATACTAAGATACTTAATTCTTTGTTAGAAATAGTAAATGTGGTACTCTTGAATTATTTTAGGTGGCACTCTGACATTTAAATTAGACATTTTTTATCCACATGAAATAAATTTTAAACTTGAGTTTTGTAGTCATTTTGTAAACACTGATCGTAAGTGCTAATTCCGTTTTCTTCATTGGCTATGAGTGTGCTTGAGGAGCAGATTGGAGAGGAGTATATAAGAGAAAACTGGTTTTCTGCATTTGAAAAACATTGGTGATGATCTAAGAAACCATTATATTATGAAGTGATTTTTCTCCCCTTAACTCTTTTCTACATAGCTTGTCTTTAGCTTCAATGAAAAGCTTTTTGGCTTACTGGTGAAGGATATTGAAGCCATGGATCCTAGCATCCTGAAGGGAGAGCCTGCAACAGGGAAAAGGCAGAAGGTAGGTTTTATTTCTGATCATCTTTACTAGATCATCCTATAATGTAATTTGTGCAGATTGATTATTGTTTTCCTATCTGTTGCTTAGTGATTTTTTTCATATTGTGTACCCTTTTAAGATAGTAGGGGGAAAAATTGCTTTCATAGCCAGCATTGTTATTAAAATATAACTTAAAATGTACTTATTTGCAGACCTAATAGTAATGTAAAGTGTAGACATATATGTACGTATAATTTGCATGAATGCAGATATTTATTGTAAATAGTAAGAAACACATTATTGGAAAGATACAGGCATGGAAATGAGGCATATAAGAATTGTAAAAGAAAGTTATGAGTAAAGTAAAAGTAGCTCAGATGATAGTCTGGAAGGTTTGCTTTGCCCAGAGAGATCTCATTTCCCCCTCACTTTTGGCCTTGCTTTGAGAAGTCCGGAAGTTTACTATTAGACTCCTAATTATTGTCTTTCTATACAGATTGAAGTAGGATTGGTTGTTGGAAACAGTCAAGTTGCATTTGAAAAAGCAGAAAATTCATCGCTTAATCTTATTGGTAAGATTTACAGTTTTTAAAAGATCTGAAATGAAGTGGACCTGTTTCTGTATGTAACTCAACTACAGTGATTTCCAAATGGGGAAAGGAAGGAGGAGCATCTGTCTTGAAAGAGTTTATCACAGAAGCATGGGATATTTCCTGTAGGTCAGGTTTGATGAAAAAGTTTAAAACATTCATCTGGATCAGCTTTGTCCAATAGAAACAGAATGTGAGCCACATGGGTAATTTTTAATTTCCTAGAAATAGCACTAAAATAAGAAACAAATTAATTTTTTAACTTTTAATTTTGAGATAATTTCAGGCTTACAGAAAATTTGCAGAAATAGCTTAGAGAATTTCTGTATGCCCTTTACCAGCTTATACCCTGATGTTAATGTCTTATTTGACATTATCAAAAATACAATGGTAAGAAATGAATATGATTTCATTTCTGCTAACTAAATTACAGATTTTATTGAGATTTCACCAGTTTTTCCATTGTGTCCTTTTCTGTTCCAAGATCCAATTTAGGATCCCATATTGCATTTAGTTGTTCTGTGTTTTGAGTTTTCTTCAGTCACTGACAGTTCCTCAGACTTTGTCTTTTATGACTTTGAGAACTGGTCAGTTATTTTGTAGAACACCCCTCACTTGGTTTTGTGTTAAATGAGATAGCATCATCATTTCTTTTAGTGATTCAGTGATGAATGTGCAGGTCAAGTCTTCCCAGCAGATTCATGGTTCAGTCCTACTCTTGTACTGTAGCCCAACTTTTGTCATATTAAAACAATGCAGCTTGTTCTCTGAGAATAGTAACTCACCAGAATAAAGTGCCATTAACTGGGCAGTAATTCTTATTTTTGGTTGATTTAACTATGTTGATATCTACCCCACTCGAGAGGAGAGGGTTTTCATTGGTTACACACCATCATGTCTAGGGTCACTTAAGAGTCTTCGAGTGTGTGGCCTTTATTTCCTGGTCTGCACGTTACCATTCCCCCTTACTGTTTTTTGTTAATTATAAAATATTTTATTTATAAAATATGGTTAGGCACTCGAAGGCTCTAAAGTTTGGTTCTGTTTTCATGGTTTTGTAATTTGCTTTTTTGTAGTTTTGTAATTTGCTTATTTTGTTTCAAACATCTTAAATATACATCTATAACATGATTTTTAATGCCTGTATGTCATTTTATGGATGTAGGATGTATTTTCCTATTATTTATCTAGTACATTTATGAAGTGATTTCTTTGTATTTTATTTTTGTGTACCTTTTGTTAAGCTATCCCAAGGAAGCTGCATAACTTTGATACAAAATAGGTATTTCTAAATAATCCGTGGGAAAAAATTGTGTAATTGGCATGCAGTAAATTTTGCCCACAAGAGGGCAGTAGAGTGTAAGAAAAAATATTTTTGATCACTTTCCAAAGGAAATATTAAGACCTCAAATCTCTAACCATAGAATTATCATCTAGTACAAACTTTTTAAAAGTGTTACTTTATTTTTAATTGACAAATAGTAATTGTATATATTTATAGGGTACAATTTAATGTTTTAATACATGTATACATTGTAGAATGATCAAATCAGGCTAATTAACATATCACCTCAAATATTTAGCATTTCTTAGGATAAACTTTAATGTGACATTTTCTTCCCTGGTTTTATAAAAACTATATTATTACTTTACTTTTTGTTTATAATAGAGCATACTAAGGTACTTAATTTATTCTTTGTTTGAAATAGTAAATGTGGTTCTCTTAAGTTACTTTAGGTGGCACTCTGACATTTAAGTTAGATAATTTTTGTCCTGTGAGAGAATTTTTAAACATGAGTTTTGTAATCACTGAAGTCTTTAGGATGATTTCAGACTTTTGTGTGCAAGTGAAGAGAAAGCAAAGAAGACATCAAACTTGTTTAGTGCATCTCGTTAGGCTGAGGGATTATATGCCCAATTACCTGTATAAGCATAATCTGGATAAATATATGTATTTTAAAATACACTTGAGTTAGGAGACTTCAGCGACTGCAAAATTTCAGTTGCATTTCTGCCAGCTAGTGTTGTCTTCATCAGATATGCACATGGTGTTTCTTCTGATCAACCAAGTTAGTTAATTTGGTTAGATTGAAGGTTAATAAAACCAAGTTTTATGGACTGATAGAAATAGACTACAGCATAAGTTTAGCTAGTCATTTTGACAGCGTGTTACCATGTATGGAGATCAGACAAAGTAGATAGCATAGCAAAACTTACCCTTCTTTCTGTAAAATCAGCTAAGATTATATTGTTCATTTTTGTATATGTAATGGTAGCTTTTCTTTACTCATTTAGGATGTTCAGGGAGTTCTGTCTTTTTAAACTTAGTGATAAAGTCCTTGTTTCACATTATATAATATTCGTTTGACATAGGCAAAGCTAAAACCAAGGAAAATCGCCAATCAATTATCAATCCTGACTGGAACTTTGAAAAGATGGGAATAGGAGGTCTAGACAAGGAATTTTCTGATATTTTCCGACGAGCATTTGCTTCCCGAGTATTTCCTCCAGAGATTGTGGAGCAGATGGGTAAGTTTAAAAAGGAAAATGTTATAAAGTCTTGTATTATTAAAAAAATTAATGCAATGAAGAATCTCTTTTCAATAGTTTTGAAATTATTTTTCAGACCCATTAAAGTATTTTTGTCTTTTTCTTTAAAAATGAACAGATAAATTTTCTGGAAAACTTTTGTAATACTAAAACTTTTAAAATTACATTTTAATTTTATGGGGAAATCGTAGAAGTAAGACTTGTGGTGGCTCTATTTTGTTATTTATTTATTGAAGAATGCTTTTCTATGGGGCATATTTAGACATTTCCCCTGATAGTAGTAATACTAGTAGTGACTCCATTTTGTTTATTTATTTCTGTAAGAATGTTTTTCTATAGGGCATGTTTAGAAAGTTCACCTGACTCTAAAGATCACTATGGGTCAGATTTACCCTGCTGAATAATAATGATCTATTAGACTGTGTGCATTGTTCTAACATTAGCTGGCGTTCCTTTTTATTGTGCTGTCGCATTACCCAGTTAGTACATCTTCCTACCTAATAAATGGATGCCTGGCATGTTTTTAAATTAAATAAGTTTGATCCAAAAAGACAAATGCAGGTTATACATTGGAGTTTCTATATTGCATACAAAGAAGTGCACTGTTCATTTATCACTTTCTTCTTGAAGATTGATTTAATTTATCTGTGTGAAGTGACTTTATTTGCCCAGTGGAAATGCTGTCATGAGTGTTTTCATATCCATATCATTTGTTGGATTGGAATGTGAGCGACAGAATATCTGAGAAAGGAATGTATAACATACCAGCTTCTGGCAGACTATTAGTGTAAAAATAGCATCCAAAAAAAAAAAAAAATGGAAGGAATATGAATATATTACTCCCCTCATCCCCATCATTCTTTATCTTTAAATTGCTACTGGAAGATAAAAGTGCATTTATTATGGTGGGGATAAGAACTGCTTTCTAGGCACTAAGTGCTTGGATTGTATTAGCCTTCTATTGTTGGTAGCCTTTCTGCCTGGTCAGTCACTCTGATAAATTACAGGCACGGCACACACCTGTTCACTGGGTAAAGGTCGAGTTTGGAATTGGATTAAGAGAAAATGACAGAGACCCTCATCACCTGAGTTTTATACACCTTGAAATGGCAATAGCATACTTTTTATCTCAAAGATACAAAGGCCATGTCCATTAAAAGCAGAATTTTAATTGGGAAAATATTTTAAAATGTGGTAGTTCACTATCTTGTTAATTTGTATTTTTTCATCAAGACATGAAAATATTGTTAAGTGTATTTTGGGTAAAAGCAAGGATAAAGAGATGATTCCAAATGTTCTAAGTTATTCTTGTAGAATGTTTTTACTAGTTTTCAGAACTGAGATCTAGTGCAGAAAGAGTCTAATGATTCTGTTTCTTTGAACATTTATACTGTGTAGCCAACAAGTAGAAAAATAACTGCATTGGTAGTGAGCCATCTCTTTTAATTATACATGTTTCCTCACCGTTTGGAAGCTAGTGAAGATACAGTTATTCAGATATTAGTTTGCTATTTGTGAATTATCTAGATCCTGCACTTGAAGCTACGCACAACGTCAGTATGCATTGGGTAGATAATGCGTAAAGGAATTGGACTCACGTTGGTCAGTTTGTGACCTTGCCAGCTGTTGGAGAGTTTTAAATTAAATCAGAACAGATTTGGAATTTGTTAGTGAATTTCATCTGTTTCTGATATCCATGTTGAAATGAATTGAATTACAGTAGTGTGCTTTTTGTTGTTTTTGATGTGCTTTTTGACTAAGCACTATAGATTTGAATTTTGTGAGTGCCGCTGTCCAGAACCTTTTTTATGGATTTATTTTTCTAATATTTTTACACGAATCAGACAAAAAATGAGTTCTATCCTTTTAGAAAAGTAATTTTTTTTTCTCTTTATGGCTTTTTGCCATCAGGAAGCATGTGTGATCAATTTCATTGAAAAGACAAACTAGTATAAAGCTGCCCTGGCTTTTGAGCTGAATTGAAAAACTTATTTTCTTTATTCTGAATAAAGTTTCTGGGTATCTAAAAAAAAAAAAAAGTAAAGCTCCCTCTTTTTTTTTTTTTTTTAATGGTTAAATGGCTGAGAAATAATTCTCTTGTAATGCATGTATCATTCCCTGTCTTCCAATAGAGGCTTCTATTTTCCTTTGAATTTTGGGGGAATTATATAGTAAAATCCTTTCTTGCACTCCAATTACAGTGTGGTTATAAGGCTCTCATTAGACTTTGGTAAAGGTACATAAATAAAAATGGTTACATTTTGACAGAATATAAATAAAATTATACAAATTCTTTTTATGCAAATTCTGTGTTTTTTTAACATGTCAGATGGGAACAAATTGATTTTTTCCCCTTTTTGTTAACTAAATAGACAGATCTATATGGTTTGGAGATTCAACTGGACACTGAGTATGACTGGTTAAATCAGTTCTAATTTTTAAAAAAGATTAGGAAAGAATAATTTATGTAGGTTATGGGGCTTTTTTGTTTCAAGCAGAAAACTTTACTTTTGGCTTAAGACCAAATTATTGTCTTTACCATGGAGTCTAAAGTTATGTCTACTTTGTAAACAGGAATCTTAACTAATGGATTTTTTGACTATATATCAATTTTCAAATTTACAAAGTGATAAATTTAGAATATTCTCTTCTGTCATGTTCATCAGACTGGTAATTATGCTTCTAGATAACAGAGTTCTTTCTTTTTGTTTATAAAACTTCATGTTGCCTTTTCAAAATTGAAAATATAGTTTAGCTACGAGCAGAATGTTGCTGATGAGATATAGGAGGACTAAAGGACTCAACCAGAGGCACACAATGATGCAGTAAAATTAGGGAACTGATGAGGTAATATACATGAAAATAACTGTCATGGAGTTTCCAATCTGTTAGTTTCTCTCTTGAAAGTCTTTCAAATAGATAGTGTATACCTTTCTGCTTTTGTACTTTTGTTATATTTTTGTAGAATTAAAATCAAGAAAACCCTTAAAGTAGAAAGGAAGTCACATAAAGCTCTCTAGACTGAGGGATAAAGGAAAAGGGATTATTTAGGGGAATATCAATTTAGACTTTTGTTTTTGTTACTGTTTTAATAAGAGTAACTGTTGAGTTTCCCCCTTGTCTGAAGTAGTTGAGCTCACCCACACCCAAGTGGGGCAGCCCTTCCTTGGAAGTATATGAGAGCAACCAGCAAAGAAAACTAAACCTATACCTTGCACTTAGTAAATAGCAAATAGGTATTTAGTTAGAATGCCCTCCAACCCCCCACAAAACAGATTTTTAATTAAGAATTACCTTAAATCCATAACTTTATGGGCTAATAGAAGCCACATTTGAGTCCCAGGGTAGAGATGTGAACATCAAAGCTGGTATCTGGAAGTATGGGTGAATAAATTCAACAGCTGATTGCTGTCTTTCAGCATATTCAGGTGTTAACTGAATAGATACTAAATACTGGTGTTCGGACATTTACCACACTTATTCCCCTGTATGCAGTTTTGTGGACAGTGTTCAGGATAAATAAATGGTCGATTACCTCAGTTCTCACTGTAGCTTTTTTGTTAGCAAAGATAGAGTTTCTGCAAAGAAACTTCATTTTTCAGCATCCCTGGCATGGGCTTCTCTCTAAATTATAAATGTCAAAGCAAAAAAACACATCGTTTTCAGTGAACAGTGGAATGATTGTTAAAGAATTAGTCAGCATCTCTTAATGTAATCCTGGGAATAGGTTCACATCTACCCAAGGAAAGACCTAGAAGGAAAAGGATGTAAAAAGGGAAGACCTCAGTCTCACACTGTCTTTCAGTGGATCTGTGGGGTGTAGATGTTCAGGCCACCTAGTGGGGAGGAAAGCCACTTGTTATGGTCTTGTGCCCCCATTCTTTGAAACTGACACTGTGTTCTTTTTGGTCTCCTTTCCCCAGTGTATCCCTCTGTAAGCCCATTTTCAATAGTATTTTTAAGGTTTCTTTTGAAATTCAAGAGGAAAGCAACTCTTTTCTGATATCATAAGTGAAATTGCAGTTACTCTATGAAATAGAACTGCTGAGAAGATAAGGAACCTTTCGATCACACAGACATCTTTCACATGCTAAAAACAGTGCAAATAAAACATAGTGGAAGAAAGGGCACTAAGGTTTTGTGCATGCCATATTTGGGAGAGAGGGAGTTCTTACTAAGATTAACATAAACACTGACACTCTTAAAATGCATTTTCACACCCCCACTCATGAGGAGAGATTGCATTTTAAATGGGGGTTAAGACATCTAGCTGAACTCCAGGGCTCTGTAAAAGGAACCCTAAGGCTAAAGAGCTTATCTGAAATTTGAAAAAAAGAAAAAAAAAATTGAGGCTTTCTGACATTCATCTTTTTTTCTTGTATTAGTCATAACTTGCTTTTCAGCTATATTTTAGGTTTTGAATGCCAACCTGACATCTGTTCAAGTCTGCCTGTAATTTATTAGCAGAGGAAAAGACAGCAGTTGCTCACTAGTTAGAGATGCAAAATTTCTCTCTTCCTGTTCTCCACTAAGTATTTATAGATGATACCTGGATATGAGGAATGTAATAATTTACTGAAAACTTCAGGTCAGGAAATTTGTAAAGTTTTTTTTTAATTGGAAGAATAAAATGGCTTAAGACCATGTAATTTCCGAAATCTGTAGAGCAGGATTTAGAGACAAAGCATAGACCCTAAAAAATACTTTAGCTAGCTTTCTATAAATTGTAGTTTTTTTAAACCTTGAATTAATTTTTCCATTGGTTTTCAATTTTTTAGTTAAATTATATTTGAACAGTAGTTGTGCTTATATCCGAAAGTCAAACTATATGTAAATTCACCTGGCATTTGCATTTATAGGCAGACTTTCAGAAACAAATCTTTTGGAGAGGCAGTGCTGTCTACAGAGTCGCCAAATGGATTAGATTTCCTGGCAACTACAGTTGAGTTACTTACAGATCAACAGTTGGGTCACTGCAA